AAGTCTAGGGGTCACATCTAATGAGGATCTTGTGCTGCTTTGTAGCATAGCAGAGGTGGGTAGAACACTTAGGCAGAAGTGAAGCAAGAGGCTAAGCTCACTTTCCGACAAGGTGAAGTAACTAATCCAGTCCTACAAGACCTGCACTCATCCCTCCCATGGCCCATTGAGCTGCTAAAGGGCCCGGCTCCCAACACCACCTCAATGACAGGCAAAGCTAAGCAGGAGTTTCAGAAGAGACAAATTATATTCAACCAGAGCAGATGGCTTTGAGGATGGAGCAACTCAAAACCCAACAAAAAAACCTAAATATCGCTTATAATGATTTAAATGTGATAATACCCTGGACAAAAAAAAAAAAAATGAAGAAATGTCAATGAGTGATATTTTAATTGAGTACATGGAAGAATATATTGGAGTGCAAGCAACAAAACTTGGCTGAAAGAGTTTAAATATGAACTACCCTGGGAAATCTTTTTTTTTTTTTTTTCTTTTTGGTTTTTTTCCGGTATCAGGAATCAAACTCACAACATTGTATGTGCCAGGCAGACGCTGTACCACTGAGCTAAATCCCCAGCCCAGGAAATCTTATTAATTAGCATTTAGTTAGAGAATTCAGCATCACACTAGCTACAGATTTAAGACAAGAAGTAAAAGACTAAAAAAAATTGAAAGAGCAATAGAAAACTTGTACGCAGAATCAGACTGTTATTTGACTACAAAACACACACATAAGTCTCTGTAAAAGCTGGTGAAAACAGGATAAGATTTGTAAGTAGTTCATAGCTGTACCAGTGTCAGTTTCTGGTTTTGCTATTATATTATAGCAATATAAGATGTCACTCTGAGTGAAGCCAGTTTGGATTTTGATGGTTATGTGATTGCTTTTGTTTTTGCAATATCCCAGGAGTCTCTAGTTGTTTCCAAATAAAAAGGAATTCCTTTAAGAGGTTATACAAGCAACAGCTGGAGAAAAACTGCTATTTAGTTGTAAAAATATGGGATTGCCAGGAAGCCACTCTGAAGTATATGATCTGTCCTTACTCTGTCTGCACTGCCATCAGAAAAGATGACCTCACCTCTGTATTATCTTTCACATCCTCATGGAGCCCTCATTGGACAACTCTGACTGAGACTCTGCCCTCAAGGGATGCTGGGAAATGTAGTTCCAGCCTTCCGGTTCCTGTTCTGATAGAAGCAGGCCAGGCGAGCCCTGGGCCAGGCCTGGAAACACACAGATTCCCAACCCACTGATATTTATAGATGCTGTAAGCCCATGATCTAGACTTTGAAAGGAGATTAGAAGATAATTAATCAAAACTGTCAGTTTATAAATAAAAGAAATTCATAAATAATTCATTTTCACAGCGTGGTCCTTCAGTGTAATATCCTATTTATGTTCATCCAAAGGAATTTATAATAGAAATATTTTCAAAGCATTTCGCAGTGTATAAAACAACTTCACATGCACTTATTCATTGACCTTCCAAATAATGCCAAAAAATAAATAATAATGAAAATACTTAATACTTACATGGCACTTTTATTTCTATTGTCAAGTCTCTCTGCAGCCCACTAAGAGAATTATGTTCTTTAGTCTGCAAATCCCAGTGTGCTTTCCTTCCATGTCTGTGTACATGTACTCCCTTCTACCGAAAATGTCGTTCCCTGGGAAGAATGCCCTGGCGGGCTCCTATGCCCAGCACATCTGTCCCATCAGAGTCCTGACTCCTCTCTCTCTCAAAAGACAGTGAGTAATGACATCTCCACGGTGCAGACACATAGGCCACACTGGCCTTGCAGGAGTCCAGAAGTTGACCAGCAGACCCACAGATGGGCTCTATGATCTGTTTCCCAGCTGCCTCCCTTTACTCCAAGAAACTCATCCTTGATTAGCTAACCCTTGTACCTGCATGCAGGACAGAAAAGAGAAGTGCATGTCTGGTGCAGAGAGGGCTTAATAAAGGGCCCCATGATTCCATGCTCGTAGGCATACATTTGCAGTTCTTCACTCCTGCAGGTGAACCTCCTAGCACAATTCCACTACTACTCATGTTCTCCAGCTTGCCCGGACCTCTCCCTCCCTTCTCCCCTGCAGGCTTCATGTTCCTGTTCTAGTAACTGGAGATGGCTCGGTGAGCAAAGCATCCCTACCTTCAGGAAGCTTAAAAGACTTGTGAGGGAGAGGGACAGCATACAGTTAGTCTTGGAAAGAGAAATATTCTTACAACCACTACAGAGATGAAGAAAAGTTTATATAACCCTAAGTGTTGTAAAAGGAGAAAAATTTATGAAGCTAAAGTAGAGGATAATACAAGGAAACATTCATAATACAAAGAACAAGGGTAGGTGAGGAGCAGGGCAAAGAAGCTTCCCTAAAGAAGGAACATGCAAATGAGCTTGAACTGAGGAGGAGAATTCACCAGCTCAGAGGAGACTGGGAAGGAAATGAGGAGTGGGTGTTCTGTCAGCCCCAGCTCAGTAGGGGCCCTGGTACATCCACTGGGCTTCCTTCCTCTCCTTTTTCCTACTTACAGGGCTGTGGACAAACACATTCTACCTCAGAGCAACTGAAGGTGGAATTAGTGAGCAGGAAAAATAGAAGGTCATGCATGGCTCAGAATCAAAAGGAGATGGGGTGCAATGTGTCACGGAAAAAGCAGGATTCTGGTCATCACAGTTCACACTGGGAAAATGCCTTCTATTAGCTTTTTAACTTTGGCAACATCACCACCAACCTATCAATTTGCTTTGAAGATTCAATGAGAAAAGAAACAAGTAATGTCTGTGTTAGATCTCTTTTCTCACTTTCTCCAGGCTTGTGGAGGAGTGAACGGTGCCACCCTCCTTCCCCAGTGCATGTGGCAGCCCAAGATGCCAGACAGAGCTTAATTAGAAAACTGCCCTTATGGATGACAGAGTGCAAATCTTAACCGAAATGACATTTAAAGAGTGAATGTAGGAAAGGGCAAAGGAAGTGAATGGAATAATTAAATTTGAGTTAGATTCAGGGCTTGAACATTTTCGAAGAGGAAGCTAATCTTGATTCCTTTGGTATTTATGCTACTCCAAGGGTAAAAATGGTCCTGTCTGTGTCACACCACTGTGGATGCTTTTTATACAGCAGGAAAAAAATGTTTTGTTTTTTTTTCCATTCCTAATGTTACATGAGAAATTGAGGGACAATTTGAACTCTAACAAAGCAAACTAATAGTGGCAAGTGTGAGAAGACAAATACCAAGAGGTGGGTGACAGAGGAAGAAAGGTGAAAAGTGCTCATAAAATGGAAAAGGAAAGAAACTAAGGTCAAGGCAGAATCCAGGAGCACTAATTTCAACCAACTTCTTCCAATTATGTGGTGCGAGTCAAGACCATGATGACATGGGAGGTGGATGTGGGGCTATACCCTCAACAATTTTTTTCTGCAAGTTGGATTCTGGACAATCATCTCTGTCATAGTCCAGTTGTAATGCTAGAAGCCATACAAATTTATTTCTCACAGTTCTGGAAGCTTGAAGGTCTAAGATCAAGGCAAAAACAGGTTTGGTATCTGGTCAGGGCTGCCCTTTGCTTCCCAATTGGCATCTTTTTGCTGCAAGCTCCAGAGAGGACAGACCACGTGTCCTTATGTGGCAGAAGGATGGAAGGGCCAAAGGGCTATGTAGCCCTTTTGTGAGTTAGTTCACTGGTCTCATTCATGAGAGCACCATTCTCATGGCTTAGTCACCCTCAATGGGCCCTCACCACAGCAAAATGAAGTACCCTGGGTGAAATGAGAGACTGTGTCCCCAAGGAAGAAACCACAGATAAGAATGTGTCGATGACTCCAGGCTCTCTTGGTTGTGGCTGAGCCCTAACATTCCTGTTTCCAGATCCAGTGTTCTTTCTGCACCAGATGCTCTTGTTATGGTTTGCTCTAAAGTGTTTCCCAAAAGACTCATGTGTTCAGAGGTGGGTCTTTTAGAAAGGATCAGATCATGGGAGTGCTCAGCCCATCAGTGGATTGATCCGTTAATGAGTCCTCAGTTGAATGTGTCATTACATAGGAGGGGAGATCTTGATGCATACAGGAGGGGGGTGACAGGTTCCAGGTTATGGTGAATTCTTGTGGTGAATTCCCTAGTGCCTCCCACTCTCTGGTTGTCTTGCTTTCTCTCTGTTTCACCATGAAGTGAGCAGCTTTGCTCCACCATACCCCTCCGCCAAGCATTTTCTGCCCTGGAGCCAGCCAATCGTGGACTGAACCCTCTGAAGCTGTAAGCCAAAAGAGCCTTTCTCTCTTAAGTCATGTGTGTCACATTTCTGGTTCCAGCAACAGAAAAGTGATGAAAATACCCTTCAGTTGATCTCAACCTAGTTTTCCAAGGCCAAAAGTTTTCCCCACACCCTACGCCAATATTCTCTTTTTTCGTCCTCTCAGTGGCTTCAAAAGCAATATGAAGATGGAAGGGAGAAAATGTGCACATAGGTGAGGCCATGCTGATGAAATTCCATTGTATGAACAACAGCTTCCACTCTTGGGGAATGTCTTTCAACACAAAGTTTTTGTTGTTGTTTTGGGTTTCCTGGGCTTGTTTTTTGTTTGATACTTGGAGTCGAACTCAGGACCTCATGCTTGCCAGACAGGCACTGCAGCACTGAGCTATATCCTCAGCCTCAGGGATGTCTTTCAAGCTATCACCTCACTATATAACCAAGCAAGGATCACTATAACTATAAATCCTATTTTGTAGCTGTGAGAACTGAGGCTCAGGCCATTAAGTGCCTTGTTCAGCAACATGTATCCTGGAGGTCAGGAGCCAGATCTCAAACTCCTGTGTCTGTCGCAGTCTCCCAGGCATGGGCAGAGCACTGGTTCAACCACCACAAGTCTCTTCTGCTCCAGTCCTTCTGCTGACCTGTGACCCTGATGGAGTCTTGCAAGCCCTGTGCTTCATTTCCTTCCACCGTCCGCACATGGGCCTCCCAGATCATCCGTGGCCTCCCAGATCATCCTCTTCAATGGCTGTTAAGAAATCATCACAACAACTGGTCTCCAAACACCAGCTAGAGATGCCTTGGTTTCCCCAGTGTGGAAGATGAGAAGGCGTTCCACGTTACACTTTTAAAACAAACATTGGCAAGACTGCACTGTTTCCAAATGTGATTTAGGGAGAGAGCCAGCAGATAAAAAAGGATGTTTATTTTTGTCCATGAGCCTCCATCAAGCAATCTGGAGAACTGGGTGGTCACAACTTCACAGCCTGCCATGGCCCTGCACGCGCCCTTTCTCTGCCACCGTACAAAGCCTGGGAGAACGCTTTAGAAAACAAATCAGGACACTACTTATCGATCTGAAGCCACAAGGAGTTATGAGTACTCCTCGCTGCCAAAGGGAAGGGGATTTTGAGCAAATGCTCCACATCTGTGAGCACTGAGTACAAAGAGCCCGGCTGTTGGAAGGTCCTGTGAGCACTGTAAGTAAACTTACGGCTCTCCCTTCGACGGGAGCATCTTCATGCTTTTCTCCTCCTAGAGAGGAGTCCTTTGGCTCATGCTGGTGTTGCTCTGATGTCCGGGGTGTTTAGTGACTGAGGCTTAGTCAATAAACAGTCTCTGGGGGATGCTTCTATTGAACCAGAGGGAAAGTGAAAGTTGTCTGCCTTGGCTATGCTTGGAAAGGGTTTGTTTTGAAAAGCTCTTGTTGATCACTCTCCTTCGTGGCTCCACATCTGTTCTGAAGAGGGCACAGACCCTGAGAGACACAAACAGTGAGAGAACGAGCCCCAGTGGCTCTGCGGACTCCCCCTGAAAAACCGAGTTGTCATCGAGCCTGCCCCTGGGGAATTCAACTTTCACATGCTTCCTTCCTTTTATGTACTGTAGGATTTTCATGCAGGAAAAAGGAAGCATTGAAGCAGATATTGTTTTGTGATTTCTTTGTAGTGATAACAAAAGATTGTCTAGTTTACTTTTGGTTAAGCGTGCTGAGTTCCTCTAGATTTTACAATTTAATTAATGTGCTCACCACGCCCTGTATAACGTTATTGCTGCACTACAGGAGCCTGAGTGTCTAACCTTTGTTAGTAAAAATATGGGTTTTGATTAATAGCAATTATAGAAATGGATGGCATAATTTCCTACATGGCTTGGTATTAGGGTGCTTCTTTTACAGGTATTTTAAACCAGATTGTGTCTAATGACTGGGAAGCAACTGAGGGAATAAAACTAGCTTAAAGGAAATAGTTTTGTTTTGATCAAGTTTGTTCCATCCTTACCTGTGTCCTATTTTATTTTATTTTATCTTATTTGGTGGTTGCACTGGGGATTGAACAAGGATGGTGAACCATATCCTCAGCCCCTTCCTTTTTTTTGAGACAAACTGTTGCTAAGTTGCTCAGGCTAGGCTCTAACGTGCCATCCTCATGCTTCAGGCTCCCATACTAGAGGAACTATAGGCATATGACTCTATGCCTGGTTTGCGCCCTTTTTCAGGGTCCCACGGCTGCGTGGAACATGTGTCTCAAGATCTCACTCTCTGTCCCAGTATCAGACGGTCTCTCAGTGTGCCTCCTAGACACACCGTCACATATGCCACATATGTGATTTAAATAGTAAGGCCCCATGACCTCCACCCACATAGCGCTCCCCTGCACTCTGTCACTCCCTCAAAGGCTCCCAAATAAGCAAGAATAATTCTCTCAGACTTTGGTTGATAAGCTGCCTTCCTTTCTTCTCTCTGAGTGCTTTTGGCTCACACTGGGCATCCTGTGATGATGAGAATAGTTTCATTCTCCAGACATCCCTAATCATTATCATGTACTTGAGGCTTTTTCAAAGCTCAAAGGCTCCAGGTAGAAGAAAGATTTCTTAGACTAGGAATTTATAACAACAGCCCAGTCCTAGGCAGCCCTCCAGGAAGGAAGTCATGTCAGCCTTTAGCCTGAGCTGATCTCTAACCTCTCCCCTTCACTCAACAGATAGGTATCACATGCCTAGTGTGCTGACAGCACTGCAAACCAAATGTAAAACAGTGCTCTGTGTCTTAGATAAACATGTTTGTCATTTTCATGCAGCCTAATCAAGCTCTCGTTTCCACAGACAATAGCTAAATGAGTTGGATGCTGGCTGGGATGGGAAAGGAAATTGTTCAAGTATTAGGAAATATTTACTGAGTATGTGCCACATTCTGAGCCCTTGATTGGCCAGGCGTCACTTGCTCTGTAAAGGAGAAGAGCCACTGCCACAGAGTATGAGATCTGAATCCAGAGTGCCTGGGGACACAAACCAGGTTGGCTTCTGTAGGATCCTGGCTTGGTCACTTAATTCCCCGGAGCCTCTGTGTCCTTACTATAGCACAAAGGTTATGAGAGCAATGTTCAGGTAAAGACTGGGAGTCCACGTGGATTTTATTTTGTCTCTTTCACATGAAAGCAGTGAGAGCTACTGAGGTTAATTCACTTATGGCCACAAGGTAGGTGACAGACAGGGCTGGGATTTGGAAGTAAATGATCTGCTTTGATGATAATGAGGAAGTGCACTTTTTAACCACCCCCTTGGTTGCTGGATTCTTTCCCATGCATTCCTTATCTACTCTCCCAGTGCCTATCTCCATAAACATTAACTGACCTAGATGACTTCAGACTAACAAACCAAGACTTAGATATAAAAACTTGCTCAAATCCACACACTCAGGCTTTAACAGGGCTGGGATCTAAACACAGGTCTTCACATTCCAAACCCTAGGCTTTTCTCATGACCCTATGTTCTTTTCTTGCCAATCTGTGAAAGGGTCAGGTCTATACCTACCCTGTGGGAAGAATGAGATTCTAGCCAGTGATAAGTGTCGCCATGATAAGTGTCACCAATAATACCTCCTTAACCATAGACGATCCTTGTGCCCCTTTGTTAGTAAATTCTCCAGGTGATCCCAATGGGTGTCAAGGTTTGTGTCAACCAGTTCTGTAATTTGGGAACAGTGGAGATTGTCATATCTGATACGACTTCATCTAAAGAAGGTAAAATGTTCCATTAAGAACAAGAGATTTGGCTTTCCCTTTCCACTCAGATTTGTGGATTGTCCTGTAGCTAAAATCAGCAGTGTTTCAGAGTTATTTACTATCTTGTTGATATTCCAGTGCTTTCTTCATCTTTTGGCACATGTCACCTTCCAAGCCCTGGGACCATCTCAACATTTTCTCATCAGCCCCTTCGATTGCATAAGGCTTCAGTGATCAGCAGATGAGCAGATTTCTTCCACTTATTATTGAAAATTAGTGCAGCCCAATAGAGCCCATCAACAAGTTAGGAGAAAGTAAGATATAGTACCTATAGAAGCTACTCAACATACTTTATAAAGAGAAATCAGGAACAGAGAGTGTTGAATGTGCTGAATGAATATATTCAGGTTGATTTCTCTGAAGACTAGTATGGTTGTGGCACAAACAGATAAAAACCAAGGGGGGAAACCAAACACAGGCTTAAAATCTGGGGAGCTTTAGATACTGAAGAAGAGGTCATGAAGGGTGTTGTGGACCGGGAACCATGAGGAGTGGAAGTAATTTCCTGTGGTGGCAAATGTCAGGATTTGAAGGGAAATATCCTTGGCTTTGAATTCTTTACCATTTTCCAAGACTCCAAGCATCACCTGCCTCTTACGCTTGTGTAACAGACATAAAGAACTTGCTACCATGCCCGAGCATGATAGGTGTGTAACAAAAAGAGTTTTTCTCTTTAGCTCTGGTCCTTTCAGTCCACAAGTATTTATTGATTATCTACTGTGTGACAATCATTCTATCTATAAAAAAGTGAGCAAGAGCCAAAGTACCTGACTTCTTGGAGCTCGTACTTAAAAGGAATTGACAAGCACCAGAATCATAAACTACAGTGCAACTTCAGAGACTAAATACTACAAGGAACGTAAAGGATGGGGATGGGTAGAATGACTGGCAGGTGCCGGGAAGGGGACACCTTTGCTAAGAGTCTTCTTTGAGGGAGTGGCCTTTAGCACTGACTTGACTCCTGAGAAAACTGAGTGACACAAAGCCATGGTTAAGCTACTATGTGACACAAGAAAAGTCATTTGAAATTCTTTTAAGGGCCGTTTCATCACTGATAAATCACAGAGCTGGATTAAATCTATGGGGCTTCTTTCAGCCTCTGTTTTGAAATTTTCTTTCTCTTTCTTAGTATCTTGTGCTATGAGTAATTGTATGAAGTGTGGGGGGATCTCTGAATCAAACTCTGCTATTGTTGTTTTGTACTTGTGTTCTATTTCCCAGACCTTTTAAAATACTGTTCTTCCTCATCATAGATATAATAGTAAGTTCTAAGTAAATCAAGATTCATTAATGATTTTTAGAAAAACTTAAATCATCACAGTTTCTGAGATTCCATTGTTGGAGCAGACAAAACACCGCATGGCAGCTTTTGGAGGATGAATCCTGTGCCTTCACAATTACTTCATGTGTGGCTCCATTCTGAAATCACACATATGTTTGTGCAGCCAACAGGCAAAGCTGCCAGAAGCCAGCCGATCCAGCAGTCTATTTGCCAAAAGCCCTGTGTACTGCTTTTAAAAACAATCTGTGGTCTGAAATGTTTCCTTTCTTAAAATGGTGCAGCAGACCTCACTTGGTCTGAGATAGCGTCTACCCAAAGTGAAGGTCATGGTGCAGAGAACTTGCACCAGAGCACTCTTTGTCTTTCATCAACCAAGCTCTGACAGCCAGAATATTCCTGGCCATGACAGTCCAGATGATCATCTCATTGCTCTATTTTGCCTTTGTCACCATAACATAGACCTCAGTTGTGGATCTGCAACCTAAAACAAACATTCTAGGTACATGGCAACATAAAATGTACAGGTCAATAATTGGGGGGTTTTCTGTTTGTTTTATTTTTTGGTTTTAGTTTTTGTTTTGCTTACTTTGTTTGAAACGTCTGCAAATGGCAAAACAGTTCACTAATTTTTTTTTTTTTAATTAAGTTCCCAAGTTAAGATTCCTGGACTGAAAAATAAGAGCAAAGAGGATGACATTTAAAAATTGCATTTGGTTAGCACATCACAGAGAAAGTTGTAGAGTAATTTCATGTTGCGCCTTGGGGCTCACCAGAGAATGGTGGTGAGCTGCTGCCGGGGGAGAGAGGAGAGGGACAGAGAACCGCTACTAAACGTTTTTATGGCAAATAATGTTCCCAGCATTTTACATACATTGGCTCCTCACCATGACCCTAGGGAGTAGTGTCGCTATTCCCTCATTCATTTTACAGAGGAGGAACTGACGCCCAGTACACTTAAGTCACAAAGATACTCACTAGCTAGTGCTTAACCCTCGATTGCCTGAGTCTATAGTCTGCTAACTTTCTGCTGTACACATTGCCTTAGGATAATAAAGGGCCCTTTTTTTCAAGTGCAATACACATTCTATTTAAGTAAAAGAAGAATGTACTGCAAGATTTTAAATGTTGAAATGGCCTCTAAGGGAAGACGCTCAGGAACTGTCTTTCTTTGAGATCTCTTAAAACCAGACTAGTTATCTATCATACATGTCTGGTATGATTTTAGTGTGGTCCTTTTCCAAGGTGAAAAGACAGACAAAAATGATTCCTCAAGTTCCTTTTGCTCTGATCAAAGACCAAGGAGAGAAAGATGTGTACCCACACACACAAAAAAAAAAACTGGCAGGGACACAGCCAGTCCAGCCCCCTTCCTACCCCATACCTGTGGCTTTGGTGGAAATGATGTCCCAGTTATCTGGACAGGGCATATTCTCTTGGACTACAATTGTGCTCACCATTTTCCCACCACCAGGGGAGGGACACAACTTGGTTCCAGTTTGTGCCCAACAAAATGAATACCATTCCCAAGAAAATATTGTCTAATTTCTAGTGTTTTTGGAGATATGCATACAGATCAGGACAAAACCTGGCATGGAAATAAGCTCAGTTAAAAAATAGAAACGTCTTTAACATTTCTATTGTATGTATCGATTAGGATTGTACTTTTCTGTAAGTATCAGAAAACACAGTTTCTTTGACATTTAAGGGGCTTATTTTTCTCACATAACAAGAAAGTCAGAGGTAGGTGGCCCAGGGGTGAAAAGGATGTCATCAGGAAGACAGTCTCCTATATTCCTGTTCCACCATGTGAGCATATGGCTTTTATTTCTATGGTGTCAGTATAACTGCTATACCTCTGGGATTGAGTTCATATTCCATGCAAGGAAGAAAAACTTTTTTCTTGTTAAACCTTGTCTTTTAATTTGGGATGAGAAGCTCTCTCCCAGGACTTGCTACATGCATCTTATTGGCCACACATGGCCATGCCTGCCTAGAAGAGAATCTGCAAGCCCATACGTTTTGCTTTCCAGTCTTTCATATAGAAAAGAGGGTAGGGGAAAAGTTACTTGGGATGAGTTTTGAGTGAGTACTTGCCAAAATATTCTGTAAATTCCTATTCTGGAGACAATAAATTTGGAATTTGATATATAAATAAGACTATACTACACAAACACTTTAGTAGCTGCATCTATTTTAATAATTAACCATTCTTCTGAACATGAAAATATTTTTAGAATAACCAATAAATGCAGGAAGGGACAGGATTCTACCTGAAGCAGGTGAAATGGATTGGGGTGTCAGGTCCAGCTCTGAAATCCAGCTGTATACCTAACTAGATATTGGGTGCCTCTGGATCTCCATTTCTTTATATTTAAAATGAGGGTAACAATAGCTACCCACAGAACTGCCTTAGCATCAAATAAGCTCTATAATCAAATAAACTATATTTTGTGTATTATATGAAGAGTCTGGTACACAGTACGCATTCAGGAAATAATAGTTCATTTCTCCCTTGCTTTGCACCTTTAACCCAGCAAGTTCAAAAAATTTCATGGAGGGGCTGGGGATTTAGCTCAGCGGCAAAGAGCCTGCCTGGCAAGCGCAAGGTCGTGAGTTCGGTTCCCGGTACCGGAGAAAAACCAAAAAAAAAAAAAAAAAATGTCATGGAACTCAACTGAGACGGAGTTGACAATTGCAGAGCTACCTCTTTATAAGAAATTAGAGCAAATCCCCTGAATGGCGTGCAGCTTCCTGTCAGTGCACACCAAGCTTCTTTCATCTGGGCTTTCATCACTTTATCTTAGCAAAGAAGACAAAAATGTCTAAGAGATTTTGTTTTCCAAGATACGTCGTAGGCTTCAAAGTGCCATCTGCTTGTGACTTGTTACAAAACAGAGTCAACAGAGCCATTTGGTGACATTTTTAAAAGTGACTGCCGTGTTTGTTACCAAGGGACGTAATTCCTAGAATTGGTTCAATTTGTTCTGTGTTGTCGGGATGTGAAATGATGCTTTCAGAGAGGCTTTTGGCTGTTTCAATACATTTTCCTCATCTCAGCCATGGAGCCAGGTTTTCAGTGCGGTTCTTTTCCATTTTAATTCTCTCCCCGCGTCACTCTGATCTTTTCAGTTAAAGATGGATTTTCAAAGCTTATCACCTCGTAGTCACCACTGCAACATCTAAAAGACAGGAAACTAGCAAATAAGCCAAAAGAGTCTACAGATTTACATAGTCAAAATCTAGCTTTTAGCCAGTATCTCATCCCTGCAAGATGGTAAGGTGAAAAAGAATTCTGGAGCACAATTCAAAGTCATGGTCTCTTTAACCTTATTCTCTCTTTTCTTACCAGAGAAAGGAGTAAGCATGTCTATCTCACACACCTCACCTGATGGATGTGAAAACCACTGAAATAAATTTCCCATGATAATGAGTAGAAGCACCATAGAGAATAGAGTATGACTCGCCCAAGCCTATTTTGGTAGTTTCCTTTTACTGGAGCAGTTTTTACCACATTACTTCCTACAATGAATCCAATACCTTTCTCAATCTCTCAACTGATTTCTCACATTATACTTACAGACAATTTTTATTCCTTTACTATCTCCTCCATACTCTTAACCCTAGTCCTAAAAGATCGTCTGAGCTCTGCTTGATTACAGCTATTCAGAATAATCACCCCACTCTCTGCAGGCCAACTACCCTTTCCTAGCCCAAGAACAGCTAAACTAATTTTTTTCAAATTCATTGAAAAAAATGTTTGTCAGTACCTCTCAAATCAAGGATGATTAAAACACAAATCCCTGCCCTATCAGAGAAAACATGTCTCTCCTTTGGCCTCATGAGAAACATCAGCAATCCAGTCATAGTCTCTTCTCTCATACAGCAATCTCTCTCAAGTGTTTCTTGCTGTCTCTGTCCTCATGAATTCCAGTAACTTTGCAAATCATGATACAAGTCATAGCGGATGCTATAAATCATGAACTCTAGTGGTTTCTGTCTTGAGGTGGTAACATTTGTGAGAAGTATGTAACCTCCTGTCTTCCCCAGAACTGATTCTGTTCATGCAGCGATTGTGGCTAACTTTCGGGCAGAAGTGGAGAGGAAGCTGTCTCCTTAGGTGGAGTTTCTTGGTTCCCAAGGCAGTTGTGCCCATAGACAGAGACTTGAGCCTCAGTGGAAATGTCATCCTGAAAAGTTCTCCTAGAAACATCACTTTTCCTGTCTGACATTAACAACTTTATCCATAAATTCTCCACACCAGTCACTGGGAAGAGAATAAAAGCAATTTATAACCTTCATTGTCCTTACATCACTTTTCCTAATTCAGATGCTTGTGCATATGCATCAACCACCCACCTCAACCACCACGGTCAATCTCTAACTTCTAGCTGACCTTAGCTAGAGCACTCTAACAATGAAACCTGGAAAATCTATCTAAAGCCTTGAGCCTACCAATTAATATCATTTGGAAATAGTCAGTAGCTATACTCCAAAGCCATAATGATTATTGGCAAGCTATACCAGTTTGAAGATGCAAATTAAAGGTAAAAATAGTTGGCCATCTGAATGCTTCCAGCTAACAGCTTGTAGCATCCCTGCAGAGAGACAATTTTTGTTCTTCTCATACTCATCCTCCAAGATGACTTTAACATACCAGGTCCACTTCCTGTGGAAAGACAAGAGATTCCTGGGGGTCAGAGATGGATCAAATAAGACAAGCCAAGACTCTTTCAGAATGGAAGAGAGTTGAACATTTGCATTGGTTGAAAATGATCAGCCAGTACTAGAAACTGAAAATATCAGGAATGGGAGATGATTGGGCCAAGTAATCTTGAGAGGAAAAGGTCAGGTGAGGCAACCACCTGGGTAGAAAGCTAGGGAAGAACAAGAACAGGCCTTGACTCACATCTGTGTCCACTGGGACAAGAGAGAAGCAAATGAGGATGGAGAGAAATGTGAATCAATTTAAAAGGTGGGAAATTTTCAGAGACTATGACAATGGTCTCTGTTTTTCTCTAGCAGATTAGGACTGTCACCATTGTCTAACAGCAAGATAGAGAGTCATTAAATGTGTACTGAGAGCTCATATTTGGCATGGAGTAAGCACTAGAAAAGAAAATTATATTCATTTCTTTCTCTCTTTGAGATCGAATTTTATAGCAAATGATTATCTACAAAAGACCTCATATAAAAATAGCCCACAGCACTACCCATATATTTGCCTTTTAAGTGAAACACATGTGCCTTTCTGAAACTTTTATTTATACCCCTGAACTCTAATGATGTCTCTGTACTCACTTCATTTTGAAAATACTTGACTCAAGGGCATAGGCTTAGAGACACCCTCTGACCACACATTCTCTCGCGCGACCTCCGAGCATGGCAAGCTTCTGAAAGCTTGCCAGCGAGAGGTGTGTAGGAAGAAAACCAAACTCTAGAGCATTTGTGTTCAGTGTTGTAAAAATGATTCCCGACAAGGCAAATAAGAGAGATAATCTAAAACATTTTTATGTCTGGCCTTTGAAGATTTCAATAAGCATGAGCTTTTCTGAGCCAAAGCGGGTCTGGGTTTCCAGTGTTTCAGATTAGTGTCTTCCTTTGATTGTTTGAAATCAGGAGGTTGGTTTGGGGAGGTTCCATGCTATGATTTGAAGGCAGCTGGCACACAGACCACAGCAGGTATTAGGGCTCCAGATTCCTCTTCACTTGTCCCACACTCCTCACCCAGACAACAGGGGAGGAGTCCAGAGCCAGCCAGAACTCCAGGGTTTCCACAAGGGAATTTTCCTGTGAAAACTAGGGTTAGGAGCTTGGGATTTAAGATTTGTTGAGAATACTATTCTCCCTCTCTCTCTCCCCCTCTCTTTCTCTCCCTCTCTCTCTCTCTCTCTCCCTCTCTCTCTCTAAGAACTTGTCTCTTTAGCTTATCTTTTAGACATCCTAGTCACCCACAAGGCCAGCACAGTAATGAAAAGCCAAGATTCGTTATTACTTACAAAGTCCTGGACACTGTTGTCGGCACTTGGGACAGAGCAGGATCATAACCTCATAACCTAAAAGCTCCAGGCCCATCAAGTCCAGGCCTTTAGAGTCCAGTTGAAGGTGCTTGGACACACAAAACAGAATGACATACAGGTTACAAGGTCCATTAGGAAGAAAGTAGCAAAAGGGGCAGAAAGCGACAGGCACACTGCTCGAGACAGTGGGCCAGAGCGGGCTGGAAGCCTCAGCAAGGCAGTGCACAGCAAGAATGAGTCTGTGAGATCAGCCCCTGGAGCAGAATCCTGGGATTAAAAGTAGCAAACAGGAGAGAAGGATGGACCGCTCTTGGCCGGTTCCAGGAACAGCAAGGGCACCAAGGCGGCTGAAATCCATCACCAGAGGATGAGAGGTGAGGCCAGAGGAGGTGGAAGGAGACTGTGCCTGCAAGGGCTTGAACCTCTCCAGAAGAAGGGGAAGAGCTGTGGCAGGGTTTAAAGCGGAAGAGTGACTGGCAGGTTCTAACTTGAATTCTGAAGGTTGAGGGGAAGTGGATTCTGGCAGCCTTGCTCTGATTATCCGCAGGCTGGCTGGGCCATCTCAGTCACAATGACAGGTCACGTGAGGAAACATGCACAGCCCAAACCAACATGGACACACCTGAAGGTCATCTACCTGACAGTTTACATTGTACATTCCGTTGCTCTGTTTGAGGACAGACAAGTTACATTATAGCGTGGCAAAAAAATGTAATTAATTGGACTAAGGACTATTCTATTTACGACATTCTATTTCACTAGCCAGAAAACTCAAATACCAGACTGCTGTGTTCAAAACCAGACCTGGAAGCCAAAAGTGAAAGCTGTCTGTTTGCCTTCCTTTTCACTGGGCCGCCTTTCCTGGCACTCAGACAATCCTCCCTCCTGCGAGCAGGCAGGACGCCCACATCCCAGCCCAGCTCACCCGGCCCGGGGTCCCACGCATGACTCTGTGGCTAAAACTCCGTGCGTCGAAAGCTGCTCCACTGCTTGGCACAATCTCTTGTGCATGGAGAGTTTTAAGGGCTGGGAGGAGGGGACCAGAGAACTGATAAACTAGTTAAGGGAAGACTTCAGAGGTGAAAGGTCACAGGTCCCCATCAAACACCACTTATCAAGCTTTGCAGCCTTTATTTAATTATTTCATTTAACCAGTGCATGCCCCTAACGTGCACTCAACTCTGTCCTACAGTCCTGGGACTCAACCACAAAAAAGCACAGACAAAAATACTTCCCGTCAGGGAGTTTCTGTCTTATGGGAGGAGAGAGATGACACTAAAGCAAATAAGTGAAATGTGAAGTATGTTGGATAGTGAGATATGGAGTGAATCATATTGAGCAAGGGAGGCCTGAGGGTTGCCTAGGTGTGCAGTTCAAAGACAAGGGGTCACAGAGGCTGCAATAGCAAGATAAGCATTGAACACAAACATGAAAGAGGTTGGAGAGCAATGTCTCAGTCACTTTCTCCAGGGCACAATGCCTGACACGGAGGCTAAAAGGAGAAGTTTATTTGGGCTCACATCTTCAGTCCATGGCTGGCTGGCTGGTTTTAGAAGCATAGCAGAGGAGCATGATGGGAGAAAGTTGCTCAAGTCATGGCAGCCAAGAAGTAGGGAGCAAAAGGAGGAGTCAGAAACAAGAATACAACCTTCCAGATGACACCTGCAGTGACCCACCTCCTAAGAACAAGGCCTGCCAAGTCAGCTATCGTACCTCATGATCCAATCCTCTTCCAAAAACAGCCCATGAGTGCACGAGGCTCTTTGGGGGCATCAAGATATAAACCTTAGCAAGCAGGATGTAATATAGACAGAGATGCAAGTATAGGAATATATAGAGATATGTAGGTATAGATATATGTACATAGTGTAAGTTCAGGTGTACATACAAAATGGTATAGATGGCACAGCTTGATACAGATATAAACATAGGTACACATCTGAAGATGCCTTTCTAGGCAGGAATGGTAGCACATGCCAATGTCCTGTGGCAGGAACAGGCCTTTACATGCTTGAGAAGAGACACTGTGGTCAGAGAAGAATGAGCAAAGGAGAGAAGGGGAGAAACTTGATGGGGAGAGGTGGCCACAGGATGCTCTGGGGCTCACTTCAACCTTTCAGCGTTTACTCTGTTTGGGAGAGGTCAGAGGGTCCTTCTGGATGGCTCTGTCTGCTGGGTGGCTTCTCCACAGGTAGGAGCCGGAGCACAAGGTCGAGACTGCAGCAATGATTCAGGCAGGAGACAATGTGGACAAAGTGGCAGTGGTAAGACAGTAAGAAGTCATGAGACACTTAAACCAGAAAGGCGAGGACATTTGGAGGCAGGGTGGGAAGCAGAGGACTTTACCGATGAGCGACCTTGAGTTCTAAAGCTTGATGAGAACGGACGCATGGAGGCAGGCAGGAGCAGGGTCAGGAAAGTGGCCGTGGAGATGGGAATCCGCAGGATGAGCAGTGACCAGGAGAATCTTGAAGAGTAAAGTGTGCTGAGACGCCCCTGACTGCCTCATGGCAGAGCATGCTGGGAAGGCTAGTAGAGGGAAGGGGTAGTAAGGTGGGCTCCAAAGAACCATGACTGGGCCACAGCATCTCTCCACTTCTCCCATGGAGGACCAGATGGGTGGGATTTCCTTTGGAGCATCCAGGAATCTCCTAGGTGCCTTCCTTGCTCCGCAACTGATGTCTCTGTACTCTCTCCAGAAGTTCAGGTGTTGGCCACTCTGCATGGTGAAATGTGAGGGGTGAGGAGACCAGAAGTACAGTGGAGGTGGCCAGCAGGGGCATGTTACCAGGAACCACATGCTGTGCTAATTTTCATCGGTCGTCCCACACCAGAGTGTTAGTCTTTGTGACACATCAGAGGCCCTTGGGACTGTGAAGATGAAAGACTTTCTTCCCCTTCCATGTAATCCTACACATTCATTCTGCCTTCACTTTCAGGGAGGCTGGGGTTGGCCAATTGCATACAACACTGTTCCACCAGAGAAGCAGAAGCAGCAAGACATAGATTTCAAAAGATGTAGTGCAAAGCTTTGGATTCTGTACATGTGGAGATGGCCAGAAGTTGGAAATCCACAGGGGAGATCACCAGAGAGAGAAAGCTGAATCTGTCAGGCAGAAGCAGCCACTATCATCCTAGGTAGAATTTTTTCCTCCTTAGGGAAGCCTCAGCTCTACTCTTCAGCCTTGTCAGCTGACTCAGGCCACCTACATGAGCTAAAAGTACTTCAAGTCAGCAGACCATGAATTTAATCACATGCACGAACTATCTTCCCAGCAAAACCTAGATGAGTGTTTGATAGAACAGGACTGAAGACTGACCAAGGGAATATAGAAAGCTGGCCATGACTTCAATGTTTTCCTTAAAGCCTGTAGATCCACTATGGGGAACTCATCTTGTGAATGAGGTGTCCTGAAGCACTGTAGGGAGAAGCATGAGATGGTCCACCTTACAGTTCAGAAACATTACATCTTCATGCATAAGGGGAAGAATTCTTGGTGAAGAATTTGAAGAAACAGTACTAAAAATAAATTATGCCTTTCTCCAGAACTAATCCATGTGAATTACAGTTGGTCTCAGTGGGAAATAAAGTAAGTTGCAAAAAACCCCAGGGAAAAGTTATTCTAGATTTCCCTGGAAATCTCAAGAAAGAAATTGTCCACTGTGTAAGGATTTTTAAGCTAATAGATCAAAATTCCCAATAACTATCCAATCTTCCATTGAATTCAGAATTAATAAATTTATAAACATTTTTAGCACCTAGTTAGTACCCAGCACTTTCTTGCAAATAGGAAATAACTATTAGCCACAGTTTCTACTATCGCCCTTCCCAAAAGGCAATCAATGTAGGGACTTCAGCTAGCAATTCTTCAATTGAAAGTGACAGAATACCAACTCAAAGTACAACAAAGCAAAAGAGAGACTGTTGGGGGCAGGGTTTCCCTAACACACATTTAGAAAGTATAGGCTAGATCTCACTTCCGGTTCTGTTGAGTCCAGGTGCTCTAAGCATATGGTCAGGACTCTATCTTTTCTTATCTCTTAGTTCTTTTTCTCTGAAATGGCTTCATTGCTGGCCAGGTCTCTCCTTGTAATTAGAGAGAGAGAGAAGGAAGAGGAGAGGGAGAGAAGGAGGGAGGGAGGGAGGAAGAGACACAGAAAGAGAGAGAGAGAGAGGAGAATGGGAGAAAGAGAGAAAAAGAGAGAGAAAGACCAGCAACAGAGGTCTGCATCTCTGTAGCTCAGCATACCAGTAAAGAAACTCACGGACTCCTAGGGTTAAGCTGACTCACAAGACCGAGTCTCAGTGGGCTTCCTCAGTTGCTTGCCCTCTCATCAACCAATCATTGCAACCAGAGCAAAGGAGTAGCCTTAAAATACTGGCAGGTGGGACCTCCCTTCAGTGCCACCAGTTCTGAGGAGGGAGGAGGGAAGGTCTCCAAAGGAAACCTAAAAGATTGTTCCAGAAGAAAGAACAGAAGATGAGGCAAACAGCAAAAGTCAGTATCTCTCACTGGGGCATAACAGTTCAGGTCCTGGAGCCCAGTGCAAGTCAGAATAGAGGTGGGACTTTCATCAGCCTCTTGTTCTAATGGTGGGTTCTTCTTGTCTCTGAAGGGGAAGTAATAATAATAACACTTTCTTTGTCTCACAGCTACAACATAAAGTATTAAAAATTAAATGACCTAATATGCACACATACACCTTATAAATATGTGCAAATAAGTTTGTGCATTATATATGAACAAGGCCTGATGAAAGCTTTATGGATGAAGTTGGATTTTAGTTTGGGCTGAAAAGGAGGAATCAGGAATGAAAAGAACAAGAAGGAAGAGGTACCACTATTTGGGTCATTGACATCACAAGCAAAATGATTTCCCATACAGGTGACACTCTGTATTCAAAGTTGCCATCTGGAATACAAACATCTCAGATGAAGAAATACAAATGGAAAATAAATAGATGAAAAATTGTTCAACATCATTGGTCATTTGAGAAATGCAAATTAAAACAACCCTGAGATTCCATCTCACCCCAGAAAGAATGGCTATCATCAAGAAATCAACCAATAACAAATATTGGTGAGGCTGTGAGGAAAAAAGAACCCTTCTCCACTGTTGGTAGGAGTGTAGACTGGTGCAACCACTGTGGAAATCAGTGTAGAGATTCCTTTAAGAAAACTAAAATTAGAGGTCCCCTTATCAGTTATTCCCTTTATCAGTGTTTTTCTGGCAGAATTGAAAACATCATATCACAGCAATATATGTGCACTCATGTTTATAGAAGCACAATTTGTAATAGCTAAATCTTGGAAACAACCCAAATGTCCATTAACCAAGAAATGGATAAAAAAGCTATAAAGAAAGATAAACTCAAAGCTTTTATAGGTAAAAAGATACACCTAGAGAATGTACTCATAAGTGAAATAAATCCGGCTTGCATGTATAAACATTGTAGTGTCTCCCTAGTGTAAGAAACTGAAAGAGTCAATAAGACCCAAATGGTGCAATAGATATTGTGAAAGGAAAAGAAAGTGCTCAAAAGGAAAGAACAATTGGGATGGGAGAAAGGAGCAAAGAAGG